TCAAATGGCACCTTAAACTGCAAATTATCTTCTGGATGTCATTTTGATGAGCATGTAAACAATTAAAAGGCACTTTCCACCTCAGTTGTTTCAGTTGCCTCTTCCTAATGCCATGGAATGTCTTGCACTATGCCAGCGTAAGTTTTTGCATGGCTGTGCAGTGACCTGGATCAGGCAAACTCGCCAAGTAAAAACGTTAGTTTTACAAGTTTAACTTCCTTTCCTAACAGCGCTGCTATTGTTCCTTCTTTCCCTCTCAACTTTCAAGCAGGGGAATTGTCAAAAGGGAATTCTAATTTGGAGTCACTTAGAATTTTTTGCTGCAACTTCCCTTATATCCTAACTTCTGTCCTCGTGATCCGATATATACTTCAGAAAAGATAAATATATAGTAGTGAAAATAGCTCTTCTATGCCCAGGTCAAAAGAAGCAAAACCTCAGGACACTCTAGTCTTCAAAAGCAATTCTTTTTATTGTATCATCTTGTAATTGCTTTTAATGCAAACAGGAAGACATACTATTTCCAGATGTTTTACATGCAAGTGAATCAGGCATCATTGATATAAGTTAATAAAGTTTAATTAACCTGGGACCATCTTGACTCAATCAGCTTATCTTTAATCATAGCATACGTAAATGGTTACTTTTTTATGTCTTTCAATGAACATAATTTATGTCCTACTTTAATGACAACTGCTTTACTCAAGACTTGATTATATGACCATCCATTAGCAATTTTCTGGTATTTATCCCTTCCATAGTCTTGAATAAGACCCATATCACAGGCATCAACAAAAATTTCATGAAAAATGGAACTGTCAGGTTCTCAGAAAAATTTAATAAATATATTCATACAGTATTTAAATATTGTATGGCAGAGAGTAAGTTGCTCACTGGAAACCAGATGGTGAAAAGGCACTCTGTACTGCCACACTGTACTAAGGAGACACATTATACTTACAGTAAAGAATGATGTACCACAGAAACGAGCACATATGCCTCGAACAAAGCCTTCATGGGCTTGTATAGTACGAATACACTGTCGTTTGGTCAGGTTCCAAATTTTAACCTGTTAAAAACAGAAAAATATTCTGTTGTTACTTATGTTTTCTGCAGCCCACAGCTGCAACTCACAATTCAAGTACAAGAGATCACACATGTTGTCTGAAATGGCATGGCTGGCTTGGACACCAGAGTGATTTTATAGTGTTAAAACTGCCTAATTATTCCCTTCTTGAAAAAATAAAAAATAAAAAAAAAAAAATTTACAAGTGCAGCTCTTTCCTTCTTATCCCCTCCAAAGCTCCACACTTGCGTATTTTTATATTTCTTTCTGAAAAATATCAGACATAATTTTAGCAAAGAACCTCTCTTAAGAGAAGGGCACTTTGCAACTAACAGAGTGCTTCCAGTCCAGCAGCTGTGCTACCTTTTATACAGACGCCCACCTCCCACAGAGGTTTCTGTTTTAAAGCATTTGGGCCCATTTAAAAAATAGGAAGAAATGGAGGACAGTTTTTCTATTTGTATGTATTTATAGTACCCAGTACTTTACTCACTCTTATCAGTGGATAAGAAATCTGGCCAACATTTCACATAAATTTATTCCCCTCTTCTCTGAAAAGATTAATCTCCCTTACACTCCTGCATGACATACACACCTTCTATAAAAAGCACAAAGCAACCAGCTACCCAGAAGACACCTTTAAAATATACAAGTACTATGAAATGAACAATAGAAGCGTGAGAGAGGACAGAGAAGACAGAAGACAGGCAATTTCTCTCTGCAACTGACTCCATCTGAAGTGCCCTTGCTTGCTATTTGTAATATTTATGTAAAATAATCAAACACAGAGTTAGCATTTTCTAGACAATATGATAAATTATTATTCCAAAAAATTTTTGGTTGTGTGCCCCTTTCCCTTAGCTCATCTGACTTCATACAATCTTCTTAATCTGCAGCAGTTTAACTTCTCCAAGGAAAAGAGCATCACCTGGGCAGCAAAAAGCAGTCACTACGGACTGTAAATATTGACATACACTGCTCCATCGTGAGGAGATAGGTGTCACACCCTCTGCTCACAGGTGAAGAACTGAAAGCCGCTGCCTTTATGCACTGGCAGATTACAACCTACGGTTTGAGAAACACTTCCCCAAACTGGGTAAGCTGCACCTTCTGAGAGAAGATATGGTATCTTGCCAAACAAAGACACAGAAGGTAAGCATGGGGCATTTGAAAACAACAAAATTAAACAAAGGCACAAGAAAGGAAAAAAAAAATAAAGGAGGAAAGGTAACTTGCTTGTTGTTGTTTGCAACTGCAGCTTACCTCTCCATCACAAGCTCCAGACAGCACTGTAGACAAACTCTTTGGATGTTTGGCCATGCAGTTAATTCCATCTCTGTGGCCATCAAGTGAGCCAAGAAAGGGTTTTGCAAACACACGTTCTAGCTTTGTTGCATTCAGAGCTCTTATGTACTCTCGTGGAACCTCAAAAGGGTGCAATGCAGGATCATAGTTTCTTGGAACTGCAGTAAAGTAATACACACATTAGAAACCCATGGTATGTAGTATAATTCAAGGTAAGCTGAATTCAGAAGTTCTCTTCAATTTTCCTGCCATGGAGAATTTTCTGTCACACTGAGATTATTGCTGTTACTGCCATTTTGAAACTGATCTGTGGGATCATTAGTATGATCGCTTCACAAGCTCTAAGTTAATGAAGCCTGAAACTTTTTTATGTCCTTTGCAAGGGAAGCTATGAATGTAAACAACAAACTGGAACCTGCAGATATCTTGCAACTATTATCAATAAAAGCCAAAAAAACAAGAACATCCAGCCACAAGGCAAAATAAACGAACCCCGTAACAGAAACCTCCTACTGCTAAACTCCAACATACACAGTACACTAGAAGGACACAACTACATGGAGACACACAAAGAGAGGCATCCTAGCGGTCTTCATGTTCGATCACCTGCAAGCCAGCCCTGGCTCTGAAATGAGGCTCATTAGTTTCATGAGCTTGATCCTCTGCTAATGCTATCTGGTTTCCCAGGCAGGAGTGTTTAGATGACACAAGCTTCGAGCAAGGGTCTCTCTGCATCTGCCTGCAAGGCACCTTATAATAAATAAAGACAGCACATTTTGACACTGCTTCTGGGTTTTGTCTCTTTCATTCTGTTTCATGCAAAAAGACTGAAAAATCAGCAGAGCAACTGACAACAGATTGCTCATTAAGAACTGATGCTTAGTCGAGTCTGCCAATTTCCAAAGACTATTTGATGCATATCAGAACCTCTAAAATCTCTGACGAAAGAGACAAAAGTTGGGTATCACTTCTGCAACATGACAAAATTTAACAGCTTACATACAAATCCCACTTGGAAAACTACAATATATTCAGCTACCGTCCCAGTGGGTAACTTCAATAGTATTTTTCCATGTTATATATATATATATAACCACAATTAAATAACTAGAACAAATTATTTGAGATGCTGATTTGCACCTACCTCTAATTGAATCTAATAATGAAGCGCGGGCAATTTAAAACAACACAGGTCTATTATCCTACCCAAACCAGTTTGATTTAGTGCATTAAATATGCCAAGTTTTAGTCCTGCTCTTTCTGACAAAGGGCTGTTTCACAAACTCTGTCATCAGGTAGAAGCTAAACTTCATTTCTATAATATTACAGAGGTGAAACTGCCACGACTGTGTAGGATAAGATCTGTGGAGGATGAGCAGGACAGAGTGTGGAAAGCCCTCATTCACCTCATTGTTCAGCCTGGAGAAGAGAAGGCTGCATGGAGACTTCATAGCAGCCTTCCAGTATCTGAAGGGGGCCTACAAATACGCCAAAGAGGGACTCTTCATCAGGGACTGTAGCAATTGCAGAAAGGGCAATAGGTTCAGACTTAAAACAGGGAAGAAATAGGTTAGATATAAGGAAGAAATTCTTCACCGTGAGAGTGGTGAAGCACTGGTACAGGTTGCCCAGGGAAGTTGTGGCTGCCCCATCCCTGACAGTATTCATAGGCCAAGCTGGACAGCCCTTTGAGCAACCTGGTCTAGTGGAAGATATCCCTACCGGTGGTAGGGAGGTTGCAACTGGATGAGCTTTAAGGTCCCTTCCAACCTGAACTATTCTATAATCTCAGCTACCAGGCTACAGCTGCTGCATCTAAAGTAAGTACAAAACCTATGCGATTTTTGCCAGGTTTAACGAGGGACACACAAGAAGCAGGACGAGATGTATCAGGAGAAAACCGGCAATAAGCCCACAAGACTGCTAAGGGTGGCCCAGGTAACGCTAAGAGCAACCTCAGCGTGCCGGAGCCGTGGCTACCCACCCCACCTCCCCCGACCCCGCGCTGTCGGCATTCCCAGGACGCGCTCTTGCAGCCCGGGCTCTCAGCCGGACCCCGCGGCACGGCACCACCGCATGGAGCCCACACCCCGCCTCGCGCCCCAGGTCCCCGCCACCGCCTCACGGCCCCTCGCGCATGCGCACGGCCACCGTCACCGCCTCCGCCGCCGACCGGCCGATTCCGGCAGCGGCTGGAGTGAGGGGAGCCCGCACCCCGCCAGGGGCTGGCAGCTGCCTGGCACTCCCTCCCGGGGGCAGCTCAGCGGCAAAGGTGGGGCCGGCGGATGCCTGAGCGCCTTCCCTCTCTCCCCACGCCATGCCGGTTGGGCGGCAGGCGAGTAGGCCGAGCCCCGCTCCAGGAGCCGCGCCGCTCACCGCGCTGCAGATCCAGCTTCGTCTCACGGACGTAGTCGTCGGGGTTACGGCTCAGCACCTTAACCCTCATCCTGCCTCCGCGCACCGGGCCGCACTGCCGGTAACCCGCACCCCCCCGTGCACACCCACGTGACCGGATGCGCCGGACGAGCTGTTCTCGCGCGGCGCCGGAACCGGCTGTCGGCGTGCGGCGGGAGGGAGCCCCGCCCCCTGCCGCGCTCCACCGTCGCGGCCGCCTTTGCCGCCGTTGGCGATGAGCGCTCCGGGGTCCGCGTGCTCCGTGCGCGAGCCGGTAGCGGCCCCGCCGCCCGCGCCGTCCCTGCTCCGCCACGTGCAGCTGGAGAACCTGGCGGCGGGGCTCAGCGGCGGCGTCCTCTCCACCCTCGTGCTGCACCCCCTGGACCTCGTTAAGATCCGCTTCGCAGGTGAGGCCCGGCTGGGCTGCGCGGGCTGCGGGTCCCGCGCTGCCGCAGGCGGGGTCAGGCAGGGACAGCCCGCGAGCCCGGCTCTCCCCGGGCACGCACCGCGCTTTGTGCCCCGAACGCATACATGTCGCCAGGCTCGCCGGTTCCAAGCCAGCGATCCACTGGCTTGTTTCTGAGCGGTTGTACAGCCGATGAGCCCTTACGCCTCTGCCCAGACTCTGTGCGGCGGCATGAGCGGCCGGCGCTGGCAGTTAGCCCCACGGCTTGAATAAACAGGCCGTAAGCCGAAGGGATATTCTGTGGTTCTCTGCCCCCCGCCCCACGTCCAAAAATTAATTTTCTTGTCATTTCCAGGAACTGTAAAATATGTGCTGTGGTGCCTCAGAGCCTGTTTTCAGGCAGACTTGGCTAGGCTTCTCCCTCTCTTTCGTGACCATCGGTGCCATAGGACACAGCAAGATTGGCTCTTTTTGACTGGCGGATGGTTTCAAGCCAACGTTCAAAGTTCACCTTTATGCCAACGACTCTCAGTGTTCAAAGCATAACAATAGTGTGATAATAATCTTGGATGTTAACAGTAGAGGTATTGTTTTACAGAAAACTCCCAACTGCTTCGGTGTTCTGCAGGGAAACGTGTCAGCTTCTCCCTAGTGATTTTACTGTTAACATGAGAAACGTGGTGCCCTTTTGTCATGTTTTCTTTTATAGAGGTTAAAACATTTTGCTGTATCTTTGGATCGTTATTTTAAGTAAATCCATGGTTGCTTTAGATCTCAAAAATAATGAGCTATCGCAGAGAAGTTTTAGAAAACATTGAAGCATTATATTTCCAAACAGGCTTTTTGCAAAATTTGAGTTGAACACTTGCCTTGCGTACTCTACTGTGAGTACGTCCTGGGCCTGTGTTATGAAGAGTGTAGCCAGCAGCTTTCTCTCTGTCTCACACCTGTAAGACTGCGTCTGAAGTACTGTGTCTGGTTTGGGGCTCACCAGCACATGGAAGGCATTGACTGGCATGATTCCAGTGAAGGCCATCAGATGGCAGGACACATGACAGGAGGATAGGCTGATGATGGACCAGGATCAGGATCGGTTCATCCTCATGAAGAGAAGGCTGAGGGGAAACATTATTGTAGCATGTGACTGTGTGATTGGGGGACACAGGTGAAGCCAGATTCTTCTTGGAGGGTAGGGCAAGAAGGAACAGGCATTAGTGGGTACATGGGAAATTCCAGTTACTTTAGGAAAGAGGATTTTTACTGTCAGAGTGGTCTAGTTCTGGTAGAGGTTACCCAGAGAAACTGTAATTTCTTCAGTCCTGGAAACATTCAGGAACCAACTGGAGATACAACTAGCAACCTGATCTATTGACATATGTGTTGAGCAGAGGAGTGGATTAGGTGATCTCTGGAGGTCTGTTGCTCATTTGGTTTGAAAATAACAATTCTTGTGTTTTGTCTTCAAACCAGAAAGTAAGAGCTGATACCAGAATATAAAGTAAAAGTAAGTTAAAAAAAAAAGGAAGTAAAAAGCTGATAGCAACATTGTGAAGATTCTAGTAGCATCATTGACAGACAGACTTTAATTCACATCTCTGATTTCCCATGTTGTTCAATGTGTTTATAAATCTGACCTAACGGCAACATGGTCAAAAAAAAACCCAAAGATCGTTGGGAAAGGTCTAGCAGGGCTCATACAGGAGGGAGAAAGGAGGCATTTGTCTTTTAATTTTGGGTGATTGTCAAGGTGCTGAGGCCTTGTCACACTGTGCTCAGAAAAAACATTTTGTCTTTAGTCCTAAAGTCTGTTGCAACATACAGGACTGCACACCAGGTTTAAAGGAGAATTAATAGTAAATGTGGCACTGAACAGAAAACAGAAATTCACGATTACAAGGATTAATCTTGTTTGGGACACAAAAACTGTGCTGAGTGTGAAACTTTGAGATTAATTTTCAGTAAAACTGCAATCTATCCTTATATCTTTAAAGAATGAAAGCTGCTCTTGTGTTGGCATCATAGTCATTTAGGTCAGACAAGAGCTGTGGAGTTCACTCCTTCCTCAGGTAAGGTCTGTATAGGCCGGATTGGTCAGTCTTGTGTGCTGGAGTTTTGAGTAGCTCCAAAGATACCTCTTCAGGCAACTTGTTCCAGTATTTGATTATTCTCATGGAGAAAATGTTCTGATTGGAATTCCCTCTGGTCCAGCTTGTCATCTCCCCATGTGCCATATCACACGTCATCAGTAATCAACTTACTCTTTTGCTGCTACAGTAGGAGCAGTAGCAGTTAACACTCTTAAATTGTGTGAACATCTCTGTTCTGAGTTCTAAAAGAAATCTGACAAGAATTTGCCTGGTTTTATCTTTTTGACAGTGATATTTTCTGAATGTTCGGATAACCAGCTGTTTGGTTATTGGGTGGGAGAATGTATTGGTTTGGTGTTTTTCCACAAATCCATCCAATGAGAATAGAAGGAGAACACAGGAAGTTTTGCTGGAAATAATCTTTGAGTGTTCTGGTTGTCCTGGGTTCAGCAGTAGCAGTCATGTTTCTCCTTCGTGGTAGCTGGTACAGTGCTGTGTTTTGACTTCCAGCCTGGGAACAGTGTTGGTGAAGCCGATGTTTTCGGTTGTTGCTAAGTGATGTTTACCCTGACCAAGGACTTTGTGAGGCTCATGCTCTGCCAGGGAGGAGGGGAAGCCGTGAGGAAGCAGAGACGGGGCGCCTGACCTAGGCTAGCCAAAGAGGTATTCCATACCACAGCACGTCATGCCTGGGGTGGGGGGTTGTCCTGGGTTCAGCAGTAGCAGTCATGTTTCTCCTTCTTGGTAGCTGGTGCAGTGCAGTGTTTTGACTTTCGGCCTGGGAACAGAGCTGATAGCGATGTTTTGGTTTGGCCAAGGACTTTCTGAGTCTCATGCTCTGCCAGGGAGGAGGGGAAGCCGGGAGGAAGCAGAGACAGGACACCTGACCCAAACTGACCAAAGAGGTATTCCATACCACAGCACGTCATGCCCAGGATGTAACTGGGAGTTAGCCGGAAGGACTGGTAGTCTGCGGGGTTAGAGGAGGTATCGGTTGGTGCTTGGTTGGGCTGGGAGGGGGCGAGGTATCAGTTGGCTGGTGCTGAGGTGTTGTATTCTCTTCCCTTGTTATTTCCTTTATCATTGTTATTATTGGTGGTAGCAGTAGTGATTTGTGTTATACCTTAGTTACTAAACTGTTCTTATCTCAACCTGTGGGAGTTGCATTCTTTTTGATTCTCCTCTCCATCCCTCCAGGAGTGAGGGGAAGGAAAGAAGGGGGGAAGTGAGTGAACTAATTGCCTGACTGGGTTTAAACCATGACAGGGGTAAATGGGAGTTACCCGGAAGGACACGGGCTTCCAGGTGGGACTCGTTTCTTGGCCGGTGGTATCGTATTCTCTTCCCTTGTTATCTTCTCTTATCATTGTTATAGTTGGTGGTAGCGGTGGTGATTTGTGTTGTACATCGGTTGCTGGACTGTTCTTGTCTCAACCCGCAGGAGTTGCACTCTTTCAATCCTCCTCCCCGTTCCTCCGGGAGCGGGGAAGGGGAGAGCCCCGGCGGGGGGGGGGGGGGGGGGCGGGCCTCGATTGCTTCTCAGCCTGGCACCACTCACTGGGAGTGAGTGAACAAGCTGTCTGACTAGGGTTTAAACCACGAAACTAGTAAAATCTGACTTTGGAATCAGTAAGGCATGACGCATTGAAAATGCTCAGAAAACCTTTTAAAGGGGAAGATCGAATTTAAAAAGTGTTATTTGGGGCTTGTGTAAAGTCCTTATAGAAATGTGTTGTCAAAGATCCCACACGTACTACTTGAAGTGTGATGTAAAATTGCTGGAGTGCTAAAAAGAAGAGACAAACAACTTCAATGCTGCTGCTCACCAAAAGTGTATAGCAGTGCATTTATTTAGCATTTCCTTTCCTTTTGCAGAGCTTAAAAGGTCTTCTTCATCTTTGTGTTTCTTTTTGCTTTTTTTTTTTTTTTTTACTTTAAGCGTAGACTTACAAAGTTGTAAACCCAAACTCTTGCACGTTTTTAAAAGGATAATTTTAAAATACAGCTGATCAGTTAGATTTCATGTTCATCTGCAGCTTGCTTTGCAGTCTTTGTACTTCTGTGGAACCTTTTACACAGCTGAGCTTCAGACTTCCTGAAATGTTCTTTTTTCAATGTAATTGCTTTCTTTCATAGTAAATGATGGATTGGAGCTGAGGCCAAAATACAATGGGATTCTGCACTGTATGACCACTGTCTGGAAGCATGAAGGACTACGAGGCTTATATCAAGGGGTAACGCCAAACATGTTGGGAGCAGGGGCTTCCTGGGGACTTTACTTTTTCTTGTAAGTAGAACTGTAAAATGTGTCATTTCCTGCAGTTTGTAATGTTCAGATATACACTGCATCTTCTTTGGGGGGTGTAAAAATGTGCTACGTGGCTTATAAACTTGTAATTCTTTTTGTAAGTCCATGTCTTTTACCCTTAATTATGTCTTGCTGGTTTAGAATTTAAGTAGTTTGAGTCAGAGACCTGATTTTGACTTACTTTGTCAAGTACAGTGCATTCCCTTTATGCTGTGAAAATGCTAAGGAACTTGAGAGATTGTGATATCAGTCATGAAGAATCCCCTAAAAGTGCCAGTACACTGTGCTTAAAACCTCACAAAAAATAAAAGCCTAACCCGACATGTTAAGAATTGGAGAACATGATCGAGCTAAATGTTTAACTAATTTTTAATATTTTTAGTGATAGTTGGGTCTCTCATTGTTTCTGTGAATTGTTGGGCTTTGCTTATAAACCCATTTGTTAATACTCATTTTTCTCTACTTTATTAGCTGTGCAACTCTGATGTGATTTACTGCTGACCTTTATTAATTGTAATACTTTAGGGAACACTTAGTTGGTATGCTTATAAAACCTTGTCAGTAGTTACTGTTTATTTCAGTCCTCAAGCTTTGCTGTACGCTCCTACTGTGGTTGAGCTCCTGTTAACAATATTTCAATCCGCAAAGAGTGGAAACTGGATCAAGAGAAGAAAGCTCAGTGTATTTCTAAGTTAGAAGACAGATACCTGTCACTGTTGCTCTCAATAAAAAGGAGGCTATCTAATTGGGTTTTTTTAGAAGTCTTGAGATCCAACAGATACTTCAATATGTGTCCCACTGATACTAACAGTAGTAATACTTTATTAATTTAGGTTATGTATTATCATAGTTCAGTTTAAAAAGCTGACTGCTCAGAGATCAATTGATCAACTAAACAAATACCATTTACTTACATATTTGTTTTCAAAGGCTGTGTACCATCTAATGTTTTCCATTATCTTAAGTGAGATGTTTTGCCGTTTGTAGGTTAAGTGATGTAAATCTGTTTTCACTATTACTAAAATATATTTTACATTTCCCAGTTACAATGCCATCAAAGCTTACAAGAAGGAAGGGAAGCTGGAAAGTCTTAGTGCAACTGAACACCTAGTGTCAGCTGCAGAGGCTGGTGAGTTTAAATGCAGAGAAGACTAGTGTTTGCTTCTAGCCTTTCTGTGTGTTGCTCCCTGCCTTTGTGTGTCAGTGCTGCTTTTTATTACAGGTGGCAAATGTAAAGTGTTCGAGTCCAAATGCAGTCAGTTATTGTCTGTAAATAAATTAATGATGTCTAAGATGAATAGATGGATCACTGTGGTCTCTTCAGTTTTGCTTAGAAGCAGCAGTTGTCAAAATCCTTTTTGACCTTGTTTTCATTGTATATAAGTGTTTTCCATACTTAATAATATATTGAATCCCAAAATATAACTGTAGCTGCTATTGGCATGTTAACTCATTAAATGTTTAACACTTAGACCTGGAAAAGAGAAGGCCAATTGAAGTTAATAGAATAAATGAATTGGTCTTTACTTGTGGTCCAAGTTTCCTTAGAAACTAAACATCTAAAATAAAAATACAATTTATATCTGCAAGACTTTTAATATGTTCTTGTCCATGCTTCTGTGTTGTATTTAATCTAGGCAGTTATGAAGACTTTATTAGGGTGTTATGTTGAAATATAAGGCATATTGTTTAATGTAAAAAACAGTAATTTACAGCTGTATTTTCAATAACCTATAAAGCTGTAGCAGGTTGCTTGTATAAACCTACCAGTATGATTAAGCAAATTTCTCATGACTGAAGTGTCCATTAAATTTTGAACCATTGTATACCTGAAGAATAACCTGAATAATCAGGAGTACATTAAGAAGTTACTTAGGTTCCTATCTACTACAGATTACGCTACATACTGTGAAACAGTGAGGCAAAAAAGGGAATGTACTAGGAATATGCAAAAAGCTGTATGCTCTGCAGGAGTAGTAGGTGGGGCTTGATTGTGAGCTTTGAAGGCAGAGAGAGGAAACAATGGTGGGCATAAACGTCATCTTTTTTAAGTAGTGCGAGTACTCTTGTAAGGTAAGTAACTTTGTCATTGTAGAAGCCTGTGTTATATTGGACTGAACAAACTTGGACAAGCTTTGGAGTTAGCATACCAACCACTCTAACTTCTGTCCTCAGGAGCCATGACTCTCTGCATTACCAACCCAATATGGGTAACAAAGACGCGACTCGTGCTACAATATAATGCTGGTGTCGACCCATCAAAACGACAATACAGAGGAATGTTTGATGCTCTTATAAAGATATACAAGGTGGAAGGTGTACGTGGCTTATACAAGGTAATACAGTTTAAGAAAAATTCCAGGATTGGCTGGCACAAGTCAGTAGCATGGTCAGACTTGTAAATACTCATCTACAGAAAAAATGCAAGTCATTTCTATATTAGCTCACTTTTATTCTGTGAGTCTTCTTTCCCACTGAAGAGCTGCAGCAAAAAGGCTTAAACAGAAGAAAAGCTATTATACTGTTGAAATGTAGGAAATCACTGAAGAATAGAGTATAAGGTTTATGACTAAGCCATCTTCTATTGGATGATAATGCTAAAATGAGAGTAAACCACAAGCTGCTTTTTAAATTTTTTGAGCCTTCCAATAATTACTATTAGGATAAGGAGGGCAGCAGTAGCGTAATATGTCTTGTTGCTAGTGCTTTTTTCCATTTCATCCCTTATCTCTGGCTTTCTGACATCTTGTGGAACATAAATTATGACTAAAGCAGTTGCTAATTTTTAATTCCACAATGGATGGTTTCACAACTGCACATTTGCCCTCTAGTTATTGAGGTCTGTAATCTGTCATCCCTAGATCCATAAAATTTTCAGACTTCTAAATATGGTCTGCGTATGTGGGGGGGGTTTATTCCCTTTAATTTAGTGAAACAGATGGCAACTGGATTTGGACTTTTTGCCTCCTCTTTCCTTCAGGCCATGACATCAAGACATTAGAAGGTGTGAAGAAACCTGTTTTAGTCCAATCAGGCTCTCTTGCAAGTAATGTTATAGAACAAGAACACTATCTCTTGGGAATTGTCCTGATTACTGAATATTAGCTTATTTTATTTGCAGTAAAAATTAGAATCATTCCTATGCTGAAAGACTACTATGCCACATACTAGGGAATGCCAAATTCTGACACCAGAAGCAAGGCACCTCGCTTATTCCTAAATTGAAATTGTCAGGATTTCTGATTTGCCTGGCTGGGTTTCTGCTCTGTTCCAAGTTGATAAATGTGTTTTTCTTGCATCTGTTAGGCTTTAAGATGTCCTTCCATTGAGTTACTTTTCAGATTATTCATGCATGTAGTATGTGTTGCCTTTGGCACTAGACACTTCTTTGTAGTGTAGATCTGTAAGTGAGGAATTAAAGCACATACTTCCTTTGAAAGAGCAAATTACTTGCTTAAATCTGCAGAGCAGGTGACCTACATAGGTCCTGAGTGACCTATGTATCTGTGCACACTGTGCAACTTTGACTTGACATCAGGATTTTCTCAACCTTGTCTATGCTAGGGAAATTGGTACCTCTTTGGGTGACTCTTTGACTTGCACATGCCTTAGACTTCCTCCATTTTCTGGTTTTGGGGGAGTTTTTATTTTTTCTCTTTCTTGCTTTATTTGAAATATGACAGCTGAAGTTTTGTTAATTTCTGTAAATTGCAGCAGCTGTAGTCCACATGAATGTCTTCTTTTTCCTCATAATCAATCTTAATTTCAGGTAGAGTTCCTTATAGCAAATAAGGGAATCTCAGAGAATACCACCACAAGTTGGAAATAAAATCTGAAAGTAATTTCTTCTGCTGAATTTGAGATTAGAATGGTATTTCTTTCCAAACATCTCCATATCTTGCTCTCTGTTGCACAAGGTGCTGTTACTGGTCTGAGAAATTCCTTTAAGTCCTTTGGGGCACAAGACTTTTAATGTCAGGATGCACTGATTTTTCTAGCAGGGATCAAAGATGTCTGTATTAGCTCTGTGGGTATTATTCATTCATTAAACTATAGTTCATCTAAAGCTGTGTTTCTCAATAACTTGTTTGTGAACTTGGCCTGGTTTTGAAAAGGCAGGAGCCTTTCCTTCACCGATTATCCCAGTAATCTAGTCAGTGATCTTCCCCACCATCATTAGGCTTTGTCCTTTGGTCTTCATCCCCTAGATGACTGGGGACAGAGCTGCTCTGCTGCATACCAGGCTAAGAAAAAAACAGCTTGGGTTATGAAATTTGAACACACCTATAGATCTCTTGGAGATCTGATCTCTAAAAATCACTTTGCCATGAAGTTAAATGTCATCTGCATTGAGTGCTGTATGGTTCTTTTCAAGTGTAAGGCAGGAGAGACCAAATGTAAAATAATCTTAAGATTGTAGGAAATGGCACTTTAAGAAAAAAACATAAAAATTTCTGAACTGTTGAAAAACTGTTAGATGCCTAGTCTGGAGTGACTGACTACTAAAACATCAATCAAGAATGCAGCTAACATTCTTCCTGCCCTCCATGTTTCTGTATTTGTATTTTAAGTTTCAGCGAAGATGTAGAAGCAGCAATTAGGAATACAGCTACTGTAAAATAAACAGGAAATGCAGAAAAAATACGGACATTAAAAAAAATGTAGTCATCAATACTGCAAGTAACAATACAGTATGCTAACAACAACAGAATCCTAGCATTAATGCGTGCTTGTTACCAAATGAAATTGGACGCTTTTGTACTGTCATTTCACCTTTGGTAGGCAAGATCCAGTACTCTGACAATAAAGTATTTTTTCCAGTCCATGATTACCTAAGGCACTTAGCTCTATTTATTTTGCTTATGCTATTTTTCTTCTTCTTGCAAATGTGTAGCTTGTAAGCTAAGTGACTTTCTATGTGTACTTGTATCCAGCAAAATCCACTGAGATTTGGCCATCTTGATTTTAACTTTACTTCCAGATTCCACAGATAGATAGAAGCACAAGTGACTTTCACATAAAAGATGGTAGAATTTTGCACTATGAAGGAATTGAGATACATATGGAGATAATGACGTAATTCCAGTGTCTCTCTGCACAAGTTGTCAGAGCAGGCCATTCTGATACCACTGGTCTTTAGTATTGTCTTCATTTGGGTTCTCAGCATGCCAAACATTACAAAGACAATCTGCTGCATTCTGTCAACACATATAGCAGAGGCTGCTCTGGTGTGAGCACTCTCCAACCATTCAGGCAGCAGTGTGGGTACCACATGGCCAAATGAAGCTTGTTCTCTACCAAGCATAGGCTTTCCAGTGTGTACATATGCCTATGTTCCTTTTCCTTGTGAATGGCAACCTTAGAAACACTAACCATAGGACATTTCTCTCTTGTCCTGAATCTTCTACGCTTAGAGCTGTTCAAGCTGCCTTTAAAACACAGGTTTTTTTCCCCACTGTCTACTGTTCAGAACTATATGCTTTACCATCTAAATTTCTAATTATAAAATTAATTCTGTCTATTGTTTTAATCCTCCAAAAGAGAATTCAAGCAGGACTTCTTTGAGCAACCACTGATCCTATCAAGCCCTCATGGCAAAAATCTTCTGAAGATATGTTTTGAATATTAAAGCAAAAAAATAACAAGAAGTACATAAAGGTAAATTATTTTAAAATTTACCTTTACAGTCATATTTCAAATGAAAAATAAACATAAAATTCTATCAAATTTTGTGGCAATTAAGGTTTTTGTGTAAAATTGTAAGAATGAGAAAGCAGAATAGGAGAATATTTCTAAAATTTCCTAAGCCAACATATTTCATTTACTGTGAGGAAAGCAGTTTTGCTTTGAAACATTTTTCCATAAGAACACATTTTTTTTTACATGTGTTTTTTAACATTGGCCCAACATTAAAAGTCCTTCAGTCTCTGAAAGCTTTCCCCATCAGCACAAGACTTAGAGTGTGCTGGTACTCATTTAGCAAGTATCATCAGTAGATGCTTGAGGACTCTTGGGTGCAAATTATCCAGATCTGCTGGCTTAAATTTAAAGAGTTTAGCGCTCTTAAATGTTTTTTAACATTCTTTTGTTGTTGGGGAGAATATTACCTCATTCTCCTGTGATATAAATACATCATTCTAATTCTTTCCAAGTAAAGAGTAGTTACTTTGTCTTTGAGCGGTTTTGTTGTCTATTCACAGGCAAAATTTGTGAAGATTTTCCTTGCTATTATGTAAATTTCATACTGGTCCTTGTTCTGCTGACCAAAATAATTTTTTCTTTGATACTTCTGATAATTTTGGGGTGGTTTTTTTTGTTCCTCCTCTTCTGTTTTTATATTACTGGTTAATTTTTCTTTTTTAATCCAGGATTTCTGAAAAACAAAGTTGTCCTTTTCCCTCTGTTGTGGCCCTTTGTCTTCAGACTTCACAGAAATTCTATGATTATGCTCACAGTTGACAAAACGTAACTGTTTGGTTTAATTCCATTTGTTCTCGTTTGGGGAAGTAGGGTTTTTTTTCCAACAACTTTAGCCAGCCCTTAATGCATTTCATCCTTTCATGGTCACTGATTATTAATTCATTGTCATTGTTTTCTACTGTGAGAAGAAAATCCCTTCCTGAATGTGTATAACATTGGAAACTTAAAGAGAGCTAATTTCTGAAGTGGCAGAAGGTCTGTGCAATTTTTATGCCTGCTGTGGTTTTAGGATTTGGGTTTTTTTTCCTGTAAGTTAGGAGTTTATGGAATAATATATCATTTTGTCCTGTTGCACTGTTCCAGTGGACTTCTACCAGGATCCCTTCTCTTTTTCTTCTCCTTTTCTAGGTTTTTAGTAGTATATTGATAAATCTTTATTCAACATGCTGGGCTTCCTGTTTAGTCTAATACAGAGTTTTGTTTCTGAACACATCTTTTAATTCCTCTGTTGTATCTGAATGGATCATGGCAAATAAGATAAAACTATTCAATGCCAGTATTTAGGGGAAAATTCTGTTTCTTTGAGTCCTTTTACCCACATTTTGATCACTTACTCCATTGTAATCATCCCTTTGCAACAGTTTTCAGGAAGCTTTTGGCTCCCTTAAGTCATTTCTAGCCAAGATAATTAATTCCCCATTTATTTGTATTTTTCCAGTGTAACTGACCAACTCTTCAAAAAAAGAATTAGTACTTGTCAGAACTCATGCAGCTGTCTTACTCATTTCAACTGAGCTAATCCTTCTCCAAAAGAAACCTTCTGTTTCTTGTAGAGGCGCTTCAGAAAATACCTCCTTTTACCCTTCATTTCAACTTTTTTGAAAGAAAAGGTTTCTGAATACTTTCGTATTGTACTCTTACTGTCCATTACTGCCTCTTACAAATGGGGAACATTTCACAGACCGCTTTGCAAAACCCTGCTGGGATGTTTTGGGATGTACTCTGAGCAGGGTGAGGAATGCACTCAAACTGATCTGAATCTTAGATTTGTTTCTTTAATGTAAGTCATCCATAAGTCCTTGTGTGCCCTTGAACTTTTCGCTTTGTCTGTGTGTGCAAGACATTGAGGTGCTGGAGCAGCTGAGGGAACTGAGGTCATTTAGCATTGGAGGAAAGGAGGCTCTGGGGACCTTCTCGATTTCTACAGCTACCTGACAGGAGGTTGTAGTGAAGTGGGTGTCAGCCTCTTCTCCCAAGTAACAAGACGAGATGGCCTCAAGTTGCACCAGGGGATGTTTAGATTGGGTAGTAGGAAAAATTTCTTCACCAAAAAGGTTGTCAAGCATTTGAACAGGCTGTGCAGGGAAGAAGGTTAAGTGACCATCCCTCAACATATTTAAAAGGCGTGTACATGATGGGCCTAGGGACATGGTTTGGTGGTAGACTTGGCAGCATTATGTTTACAGTTGGACTCGATGTTAAAGGTCTCTTTCAACCCAAATGATTCTATACATACACACATTTTTAGTATGGAAATGTTTGTGTATCATACACATTTGTATACACACACACATGTGCATATCTGTCTCCAGGACTTGACCAAGAATTCTTTTGTACCTCCACTGCTGATGGCCCTCCTCACTGAGATGCCAGCTTCCATCATTGCCTTAACAGTCTTGGGTGGGAACTGAACAGCTCAGTGTCAGTCCTGGAAAGGGGCAGGCACTGAGCAGCACATTTGCAAGACTGCAGCTTGATTAATATTGTTAGAATCCTGATCCATGTTGCCATCTTTTTAAAACCTGTGCTTGTGTTCTATGAGAAGGAGTCCCTTAGCCACTTGTTTTAGCTTACTCATTAGGTGTTTTTAGCTTGTATGTCATTTGGAGAAAAGTACATTTATTACACTTGTGTCTGATGTCTGCCATTAAGAATATCAACACAGAATTGGCTCTGAGTCATAGTGCACAATGATGAGTTGTGCAGTCACGATTTGTAAATAATGGAGGACATACTTACATGTGTAAACTGAGCTTTGTCAAGTTGTATAGTTCTTGGGAATTGCTGTTTAGCCTTGTTTTATTCCTTTTTCTAGGGATTTGTGCCTGGTCTGTTTGGAACTTCACATGGAGCACTTCAGTTCATGGCATATGAGGATTTGAAACTGAGATACAACAAGTACAGAAACAGAGTGTCAGACACAAAATTGGTACAGTTCTTGAGAATAAGAATGTGTTGTGGCATGTGAATAAGCATAAATTTATTCCATTTGTCGAGGTTGTAGTGCAGCCAAGTGTACAAAGTATTGCTGCTTTAATTGGAATGTAGAACACAGAAGGAAATAATACTTTTTCACCTTTTAGGATCAAGGAACTGATTAGTGCTCTTTTCCTATAGGGACGCCAACTTCTTATTTTGGCAAGTGTTTTGAGAATTGTAGAGAGAGGAATGGGGTTTTTTGTCTTACTTTGTGAAACCATAGATGGTGGTCTTAAACGCTTAGAAAACTGGTCAGGTGCAAGTTGGGCAAAAGTAGTTGGGGGAAAAATGTAGAGTATTGTTTAGTTCAACATTTAAAAATCAAAGTAGATTTGGGGAAATTCAGTAATTTAAACCATACTTAAAGTAAGCATGGTAATTTTTATTGCTTTTAGAACACTGTGGAGTACATAATGATGGCAGCTGTATCCAAAATTTTTGCTGTGTCAGCAACATATCCCTATCAGGTTGTGCGAGCTCGTCTTCAAGATCAACATAATACGTATTCTGGTGTGTTTGACGTGATCCGCAGGACATGGAGGTAGGCATGCAGAATTAAAAGCTTATGACTTAGAAAGTGAGTCTTACAGAATCAGAGCTATGTTTACTGGTTTCCATGCCAACTTGCAGAATCAGTGCAGTTCTGAGCAAACAAAATATTAGCTGTACAAAGCCATTTTGTGCAAGTTGCCACTAACAGCAATAATCTAAGGACAAGGGAGGAGATAGGAGAGGGTCAGTGGTAGGCTTCTGTTGTTTATTCTGTCTCCCTTCTCTCTTCCTCACCAAATTTCACTTACAAGTTAAAAAATAACATTGAGTTGGCTGTGTTGGGGCTCTTAAACAGTATGACAGCAGTGTTGTACTGTTGGGAGTTGTGGGTAATCCAGATTCCTGGCAGGAGGAAATGAAAACTAGCCACAGCTGTTTTATATGGATGTCCCTGGGTTACTGTGGGGCCTGACTGCATTTGTAGTCTAGTCCTAGCTTCTGGTAGGACCTTTAGAGAACCCCTACCTCACACCTGTGTGTATCTTCTCATAAACTTTCTTCCCTCATCTCCACAGGGCATGTGAGAGTTTTCACACAGAGCTCTGTAGTTACTAAGGTTGGCCATCTGTGCAGTATGCAGCCAGTGATGGGTTAAGATTTTATATATTATGGCTCTGTAAACAGTATAGGAAGAAATTACTCTGAAATTGTTACTCTTACCTGAAGTAGTTCTCTCGGAGTGCAAGAAGAAAAATTCCAGGCTTTGTTTTATGTCTGATTTCAATTAAATACATTAATTAAAACTAAATGTTTTTCTTTGTCTTTAAAGGAAAGAAGGAATTCATGGATTTTACAAAGGAATTATCCCCAATGTGATCAGAGTGACTCCTGCCTGCTGCATTACCTTTGTTGTTTATGAAAATGTGTCTGGTTTTTTACTTGGTTTTAGGAAAGAAAGTAGTTAAAGGTAGGAGCTTGTGTTCATAAGGAATCTATCCTTTATTTTTTGTATTTGTGGTCTGGGAGAGATTTAGTTCAGCAGACATCTTTGACACCATGAATTGATCTAGTGTTTTGAGGAAAGCACATGGAGATAGTAAAACCCTGCCAACATCTCTTCTGCTGAATGTTCTTGTATTGCTGCTGCCTTCTCTGAATCAGCTCTGCCTGCTTGAAACAGATGTCTCTGCAACTGTGAAATAATAGCACTGTGACTGGGTGAAGGCAACTGTGCAGCAATTCAGTTCATCCTGGCCTGCCTGGAATAATAGACTGATGTGTTTTGACAGGTCTTAACTGTTGGTCAGATTCCACTCCTACAGAGGTGGATAACTTCATATAAAAGCAACTCTGGGGTCTGGCAGAACTTTCTTAAATCTTTATCTGAGTTTCATGAAGAAACAAGCAAGGTCTTCTGAATCCACCTCTGTGTTTTGTCAGATTTTAGGATATAGAGTGCTCCAGATTCCATTGCTCATCCAACACGAAAAACACTGCCTTGGTGGGGTGCAGTTTGGAAACTCAGAATTGTTTTGTAAAACAGCTGTCCATTCTTGGGTTTGAATAACTGCCAGTCTGATGAACCCAGTTCTGGTCTCATACCAGACAGACTTGCATTGTGGTTTTTGGCTTGCTTTTAGCACCAGACCAAAGTATATGTTGTGTGCATCGCTGGCCACTTACTGAATTCATTTTCTCTCTTGTCCCTGCCTGCCCTCTCTCTCAACCCCACCCTGCGACATTCTGTCTGTTACTGATACATCTGACCAAATATTAGTAAGTAAAGGTGTATTTGAATGTAGGTTTACGTTTCAAACAGTTTTGTTTTCTAGTAATCCCATAGTGATGCAGTTTTCAAACCAGTGTTGCAACAAACATGAACATGCTTATTTTCAATAATATTTTCTGGGAAAAGGAAATACTCTTAAGTGGTAAAAAAAATACTGTGCACAGGACTTAAAAAATGATCATTAATGTCTTCTGATTTAGTCTAAGGAAAAGGACTGTAAGGATATATTGATTGCTAATTTAACGATAAACTAAATTACAATACATCTCAGTAAATTTGTATAATAATGATATTTATTGGTATGCCAATAATTGCTGTCAACTATATGAATTTTTTTGAGATTTGGGTTTGTTTTATTTTTTAGTTCTTCTTTAAGAAGATGCATTACTGGCCATTACTAACAACTGCCTCTGCTGTTAGTAGGAAGTTATTAAGAAGTATGTAGAAAGCATCACTTAACTAAGGAGGAAGTAAGTTAGCAAAAATCATTCCATGGGGTGGGGGAAATAATCAGTTTCATAAGGAGTGAAGGATACTATCTCGCAAAACACCTGAATACAGAGAAGTTCCCTGTTTAACAGAAAGCTGGCCTAAAGTAGAAACAAGCATTTTCATAAAAAAAGCAACTGATTAGGGATTTGGTTTCAGTTTTAAGTTAAAATCTTACAATTTAATTTTTTTTTTAATTAATTTGTCTTTTAATTAAGATCAATATTTTTAGTCTTAATTCAGCAATCCACTTGCTTGTTCCTCTTGATATATTTTGTGTATACTTATTAATAATTTATACTTTCTGTTCCACAATCCCATTCCCTCTACTGATACAGTTAATAATCTCATCTGAAAAGGGCATGTGGCCATTAAGGCTGGCTTTGGTTTCTTATTATGAAAGTTTCCATGTGTATTTAGCTGAGGATCAAATTTACTGGAAGTTTAGCATGAAAATTACTGTGTAGATCCCTAACAGCTACTAACTTCTTCTGCCTTTGGAGGGTTTTTACTTGGTTTTGTGTGTTTTCTAGTACCCAGAATGAATAACCAAGTTAACTCTGCCACTGAGAATCCAAGAAATGTTGTGAAGACATATGAATAAAAGTTGTGCACTTACTAGCCTGAGTTAGTGTACTTGTGCTCCAGGATAAATGCAAAGACAGGCTACAAGCATGTATACAATCAGTTACTGTATGTTAACTGACATTCTCTAAATTCACACCATAACTTAGCTCATAGTAACTTGTTTGTGTCCAGATACCTTAAAACCCATCCTCCAAGCCAATGAAAACAGTACAGTTCTGCAGATACAAAATACCAGCTGTATAATTTGCTAGTTTACAGCAGGATCACACATAAGCTTGCAGCTGGGAAAGCCCAAATGCTCTCCTAGCCACAGCTGTGTTCCTCTAGCATTCTTCACAAAAGCTGCAGACAAGAGCTACCAATTTGAGATGTATGGGGAAAATTTTATAACCTGCTCAGAAAAAAGCTGAGATTTAATTCTAAATAGTTGAAATAAATTAATTATCTCGGATTAAATGTTTCTTCCTTTTCATTTCTGGGAAGACTGTACATTTCTGCATGTTATACATGCTGTATCTTGTTGGGTTTTTTTTTTATTTTGTTAATGTAAAGTTGATTTTGTAATGTAAACATGACTGTTGTTGTTTCCCTCAAGAATCTTTAAAATTAAAAAAAAACAAAAGCCAAATAGTTCATCACTCATTGCATTTGGAAGCAAACACTTAAAGCACCGAAGCTAGTGGTGTGCTGCCATGATGAATTGTCATTTGTCGAGGCTGGAGACGGCAGTCAAATAGCTGTGACATAATTCTTTCACTTTACCAATACACTTTTTAAAAGCCAAGGCATTTCAACCTGTCTTATTTCTGTATCCTCCAAACTATTTAATATGTCTAGCTTTTACTTAACACCAAAGTGATTGTACAAATCTGAAAGGCTAAATCTATGAGAATTATTTTACTGGAACAATTAAGTTTTGTAACTGTAAAGTTACAAAACCAATAATAAGACCAATAATAGATGCTTATACTGAAATTCAGTCTATTGACAAGCAAAAGAGGGAAGGAGAGCTTACATAGTCTATTTTTACTTAAGTCGTTCAGAACAAGGTATTTAACACCACGTCATCTAGGTCACAGTTAAGTCACTGGGAGTTAGTTGAGAGACTTAAAAGAGTGTAACAGCAGAGCATCCTATTTTGTAGTCAGGTTTACCAGGAGTAGATGTTACATATGTTTTCTGAAGGCTAAAGCCAAGATCTGGGTTTACTTTCGTAGAACTTTCTATGAAGTCTTCTAAGAAAATTATGTTTCATAACATCATGTAAACACTTTAATAGTCAATAAAATAGCTTGGATCTTCTATTTGTAAAAGGTCTTGTTTATTTGATATAAAAAAGTTACAGTTAACTCTTAAAATGGTGGTGGTATATTTTCATACATCAAAGAAGGAATTAAAAAAGTTAATGAACTTGGGTTTGATATTTATATTCTAAAATGACTGTTGTAAAAAGCCTCTGCAATGTGCAAAACAAGGCTAGACAAAGACTACAGATGGAAGAGTTTGGTGCCTTTCACTCAAATACTTGCATGCAACTCCACAGAAATAAATTCTGAGGAAAATGGTACAAAATAAAGGGGGGGGGGAGAGAAACTATAAAAAGGGAGGGAAAGTTATTTTGGTAGTTCTTCAATGATAATGCGGGAGACTGAGTTCCATCCAGTAGAAGCATCTCCCCGTGGATAATCTGAGCAAGTCCCGACCCAGATGGCAATGTCCACCAAACCAGCATTGATCCCTTCACACAGACCTTCCACTGGTTAAAGACAAAAATCAGGTTACCTCAGCAGACACAACTACTTTGTATTTCATCACTGAAGAGGGACACCAGCACTTGAGAGCAGCAGTGCATTGCAAGCTCATAATGTTTAGTTAAACCTGAAGAAAACACTTTTCGAAATAAAAACTATTAATTAGAGATGTGGCAGCATAGGTTAGAGTCATGCATTGCCTTTATCCATGCTGCTTCTTGATGTCTGTTGCAGTACCTGCAGCAGATCACAACCCAGAGGATGGTTACATGGGAGGTACACCTGCATCTGTAAACATCCAAATTCACTACCTGGTAGCTGGGATATGGCTTCAATCCCACCTAGCCATGCTTTTAGCAATGATGGGGAGGAGGAATAGGCACACAGCCATAACTGGCTTCCACAGCTGAGCCCTGCAAAGGTGATTGCCACCCTGTAACCTTTCCCACTCTTAATTCATTGCTTCTGTGTAAAGTTCCACTTCTGCTGTCCCTTTGTTTTTTTCTCCCACTAGCACCACTAGTTGGAGGTAGGTTAATGAAACAGGTGGGTCCTACGCCTTAATGAAGAAACCCTATCATAACTCTAGATGTTAGATTTCACACAGTCATGAAATAGTACAGGGAGGAAAATGGAGAAAGTATAGACGATGTTAGTCCCCTGTTCCTAGTGTCACCTTTTATGTTGAAGTAACTTCACTAATTTGCCTTTTGCTTAGCAACTGAGTAATAGTTCCCAGCTATTTCACTTTGGAGGTACATTTGTGCCCACCTGAAATTATAATAGAAATTCCAGGAGGGATAAATCTTATGCACAGATAATGTGCAAGTATCAGTGTGACATGACACTGTTCTTGGCAAAAAGGAAGTTTCTCCACATGCTAAAACAGCACAGAATGTCTCTGTAGCAGAGATCAGTAGAACTGTCTGGACAGAAATCTCTTCTATTTCTAAATTGCAGGATGTAAGTGCCATGAAAAATACCACAGTAATGAAGTACCACTTAATAAATAATTCTTATATTGTTGATAGTCACCTGTGAGACAGCAGAGTAGGAGTAACAAGTGTTACCTGGCCACTCTTCCTCCTCCTTTCAGTCTTTTGAGTTTATAAGGCAGACTGTACCCTGGGCACTTGGTAACTAGATTTGCTACTGGCTTCTCCATCTCTGTTCATGCAGTCTCAGCATACATACCTGAAGAAGTTCGGTGTATATTAATAGTAGAATTCAGCTCCGGGCTTCCTTGATCTAAATAGATTATGGCTTCAATAGGAAGTGGCCCAGCACATTCTGCTCCATTAAAAGTGAAGTACCAGCGCTGACAACAGGCACTTTTGCATTTTAGCCGAAGCGATCCACTGAAGAGAACACGGAGAGCACTGTTGGAGCGCATCTTTGTAAATGTGCATTCCTGAGAGGAGAAAAAAATGCTTTAGTAGCAACCTCTGGGGTTTAACCTATTTATTTTCTATATATTTAGCAAATAGATTTAGGAATATAATAGGAATATGTTTATTTCAGAATGGTTTCACTATTCTCTTTAGTCCCTTCCCTCTAGAAAAAATAGAACAAAAGAAGAAAATGGTACAGCCTGGCAAATATTGTATGGTGCAAAGATGCAAATCAGAAGCAGCACCTCATAGATGGTAATGGAGAACGGGGATTATGGAAATTCTTATTTTATTTAGATAGTATCTGCTGTTAAAATAGTAACCTAGTTACATTTCAGGGTTCGTGTAAAGGGGTGTGACCTGTCTGAAGGCTGTATGCAAGTCCTTGCATGAGAGGACAGTACAATTTCTGTCTCTGTTAACAGAAATCTTGGATTCAACAGTTACAGGATCTGTGAGAGGCTTAAACTCTGCTAAAAGCTCCGCAACTGAAAAAGAAACGTTTTCAGGTATTACCTGTCTTCAAAATGCTGGATATCAGGGGATGGGGGAGGCTAGGGACAGTTCTGCAAGTACATGGCAATAAGAAATGTTAACTCAGAAAGGTTGATTCTCACTCTAAGCACAGCAATAGCAGTTAAATTTCTCCAACCAATCTGGGCATTGCTTCATAACTGTGATTGATTACCCCTCCTATGGAGACAGGCTGAGAGAGCTGGGCTTGTTCAGCCTGGAGAAGAGAAGGCTCCAGGGAGACCTCATAGCAGCTTTCCACTAGAGGAGCCTACAAGAAATCTGGAGAGGGACTTTTTACAAGGGCATGAAGTGATAAGACAAAGGGGAATGGCTTTAAACTGACAGAGGGGAGACTTAGATTAAACAACAGGAAGAAATTCTTCACTGTGAGGCTGGTGAGACAGTGGAACAGGATGCCCAGAGAAGCTGTGGCTGCCCCATCCCTGGCAGTTCAAGGCCAGGTTGGATGGGGCTTTGAGCAACCTGGTCTAGTGGAAGGTGCCTCTGCCCATGGCAGGCGGTTGGAACTGGATGATGTTTAAGGTCCTTTCCAACCCAAACCATTCTATGACTATGAAAAAGGTTCCAAGGAGAAACCTGTATGATTGGTGCTACCCAGCTCACAAATTGAGATTGCTGTGGTTGGTGTAGCGCAGCATCCGTGGCAAAGCTTACTTACTGCTATCTTTCCAAGATCGATGCCATAGTTAAGTGCACTCCATGAACACTGCTTGAAGTTGGGCGTCCAGGACTCTTCGATGCTCTCGCGCATGCACTCTCCCTTCTCCCCCTTCAGCCCATCCCGTCCTGGGATCCCAGGTGTCCCGGGGATCCCATTGGCTCCTGGGTTTCCATCCCGTCCAGGAACACCACTGGGGCCTTGCAGG